CGCCCGGGTACCTCGGGGCTCCGCAGCCGGCGGGGAGCGGGCCGGCCGCCGCGCCCCATCCCCTCGCGCTCCGGGCGCGCCCGCGGGGTCCCGCTCGGTCTCCGGCGCGTACCGGGCGGACGGGGAGCTGCGGCCGCGGCGTACAGCCGGCCGGGGGGACGCAGGCGCCGAGCCCGCACCCGCGGCTCCACCTCCTCGCGCTCAGCACCGCAGCTCCGCCGCCGCGGGCCGCACAATGGGAGCGGGCGGGCCGTGACTCACCCCGCCCCGGCCGGCCCGGCCCCCACACGCAGCCCCGCAGGAGCCCACCGCCCACCAGCCCCTTCCCCGCGCGGCCCGCGCAGGTGCGGGGGGCGGAGCAGGCCCCCCGATTCCCACAATCCGCGAGTTCACCCCCACCTTGCTCTTAGCCGCACCTCCTCTCAGAGCCCAAAAGCCGACCCCCACTGCAGACCCTCGCCTCTCTACCGTGGGCAGCGAGCCTGGGGGCACCCATGAAGTCCCTGTCCTTCCTCTTCAGTTCAAGACAGACTGATGCTCCTCAAAGGCTTGCCTTTCCCATCGGGCACCACCCAACATTTGACCTTGACATGTTACCTGCCTTCCTTGAGCCTCAGTTTCCCCATCTGTAACCAGAGGGACCCGGGAGGAGTGTGTTCCAAAGTCCTGTCTAGGATTCTGTGGCTCAGTTTCCATATTTCTTCTCCCCCACCCCCACACCCTAAGGTGACATATGCTTTTCCAAGGTCAAAGGTCTTTGGAAGGAGCCCCTAACCCTTGTAGGATTCCCTGAGATGCCGCAGCAAGCACCACGCTATGTCCATCGCAGGACCCTATAACCATCTGCTGAACTCTGACCTTTGAAACTTGAGGACAAGCAGAATGGAACTGAAGGAGGAGAGCTTGGGTGAGCTGATGCAGGGAAAGTAGAACTAGTCAGAGGCAGGCGGTGGGGGGGCAGGAGGAGTGGTCAGCACCTGAGGTCAGCAAGGCCAGAGAGTGTAACTGCACATTACGTCAGGAAGAGAATCAGCCCATGAGCTTGAGCAAGTAGTTCACCATCTCTGACCGGGAGCCACTTCCTGGGTCTCAGCTCCATCCAAGGAAAGATTTCCCATCCAGGGAGCTGAGAAAGGAGTCCCTATTTGAGTTCCTACTCTCCTTTCTGCCATGTCCCTGCTGAGTCATGCTCCCCACATTCAATGCCTCATGCAACCTAGGAGGGGACTATTGCTAGTTCCATGTCCACTCACACTAGGATTCTGGGATCTGCTTTAGCCTGCTGCAGTGACCACAGCTGGGAAGCTGGCAGGTAAGGCATCACTGGCGGTCTGTAGAGCCAAGAACATCTGGCAGCCCCAGGCCTCTTTCACTGGACAGGGGTTGAGAGAGTGAAACCAGAGGTCAGCTGTGGTGTAGGAAGTGTGGGTGAATTGTGCACCCCAACCTGAGAAAGGCAAACTATTGCATCCTTTGACCTCCAAGCCAGGTAACTCTGCTCTCAGTCTGTACTTGAGTGTTACTCTGGCAAATCCCTCACTTCCTTAAAGATGTGCAAGAGCCATGCACACCCATGTTCATTGTGGCTTTATTCACAATAGCAAAGAGCTGGAAACAACCCAAGTGCCCATCAATAAATGAATGGATAGAAAAGCTCTGGTATATTCACTTAATGGAATACTATGCTGCATTGAAAAACAAGGAACTCATGAAATATTATTCAAAATGGGTGATCCTGGAGGGCATTATGATGAGTGAAATATCTCAGTCACAAAAGGACAAATATTGCATAGGACCACTGTTGTAAAATGGGACTGACATCGGGACTGAGGGAAGACTGAGAAAGATGGGATAAATTATGTATACTGCATTAAAACAGATGAGAGAACTGTTTAAAAGGGATATATGATTAGGTATTATTGTCATGACAGGAATCCAGAATGAAGGCTGCACAGTGGAATGGACTTGGGGGAGGGATTGTATAACAATGAAAGAATTTTTCTTTTACTTTTCAAAGAGAAGAGTGAATTGGGGGAGAGGGTTGGGCAGGGAGAAAAGTGCAACAATGAAGGAATGGAAACTCTAAGTCTCTGTAAACTTTCATTAATATTAATAAAATAAAATTTAAAAAATTTTTAAAAAGATATGCAAGAGCCTTGGGAACTTTCCCTTGTCTGGAACATTCTGGGAGGACTTCTTAGTCTTCAGTCCCCCATCCACATCCTGGTCCTGCTCACGGTGCCAGCTCCCCTCCTTCAGCCTGCAGCTGGACAACAGGTACCTGGGCACCGAGGCAGCCAGAGGAGGCTGTGAGAAACAGAGACCCTGGTGCTCTGGGCCCTGGGCACTGACATCATGGAGGTCTAGGGCTCCAGAAAAGATGGTCTTGTGCCCTAATGGAATCAGGAACAGGCTCTCTGAGTTCATGGCTCCAGGCCAAGGGGGCAACAGGCATCCATGGTATCAACACCAGTGAGCTGGCCGAGCAAATCTGAAAAAATTTACCCTTATTAATGGGCCAGGGTCGCCCCTCTCTCTTATGATTATGATGCCATTCCTCATCATCTCCAGCCATTAATCTTAATGATATTTTACACCCAGAAAGAAACCTTTGATGGTTGTAAAGGGTGAGAGAAGGAAAAAAGATGAGTAGACAGATCATCTCACAGCCATCAGGTCAATTCTGACTCACAGAGAAAGACCCTCCATCAGGTTTCTGAGGATCTACGTCTCTACAGGAGGAGATCGCCCATCTTCTCCCCAAAGAGCAGCTGGTGGATTCAAACCACTGACCTTTGGGTTAGCCGTGCAACACATAATGCACTAAACCACCAGAACGCCTTAAATAGATCCTAGACACGTGAAGATGAGAAAGGGAAAGATAGTCTACAAGACGGGGTTATCCACACACCTCACTAGAGGAAGGGAAGACTTGGACAAGTGGGAAGTGCAGTGTGGTTGCAGTATGGGCATTAGAAGTCGTATCATAAGACAAAAATGTACAATGGTGAATGGAAGCCAGTGTACTTTGTAACTTTCACTGGAACTACAATTTTCAAAAATCTTAATGATAATAGAGATAACATCATTATCTTACATATAGGTGGTACACACCTAGTCTATAGACTTCT